GCCCCCCACTCCATGCTGGACCCCCGAACAGGAACACAGATCTCCGGTGGGCCTGTCTCTTATACACATCTAGATGTGTATAAGAGACAGGTCCACGCTTCCGCGAGTGTTAATCAACCTACTTCTGTCGTGTGTCTGGCATCCTTGGTTTCTGCATCGATTTGTGGGAACAGCAATCAGGCCATTCACTAAATAGTTGTGTGACGATGGCGGACCAGCAGACTCAGCAGTAAGCAAGTGAGGCATGCTTGTTTTTCGGTGATGTGTTTTTTTGGTTGTGGTTCAAGTTTGTTTTTTTTTTTGGTTTCGTTTGAGGCATTGTTTTTTGTCGTTGTTTTTTTTTTTTTTTTTTATCACGTCGAAGCGGTGCCGATCATGTGGACCGTGCAAGCGTCGATGAACTGTCACTTCACCGGGTTTGTCACCCGAAGACTCACCCCAACGGTCGGTGTTGTTTTGTTTTGGTTGTGGTTGAACTTGTTTTTTTTTTTTTGGTTTTGTTTTAGGCATTGTTTTTTGTCGTTGTTTTTATTTTTTTTGTTCCCATGGAAGCGGTGCCGATCATGCGGGCTGTGCAAGCGTCAATGAACTGTCACTTCACCGGGCCCGTCACCTGAACACTCACCCCAACGGTCGACCTTCTGGCAGCTCATGTCGTATTTGTGGATGAGGTGCCAGAGGTGGCACATCATTGTTAGTGGGACATGTGACAGCCCCTCGGTCACCCTGGGACATGCGCCGTCTTTCCATGTGACAGCCCAACACACAACCCCTCACTCAGCTGCGAGAGAACAACACTCATGTGACAACTCAACAGTCACTTCCACTCAACGGTTTGTGTTGTCACTCGAAGAGTCACCCGGGAAAAAAATGCCTCAGTAGTTGCACCCTCCGCGTCACATTTCTGTACACAGCCGTCAACTCCTAGATTTTCTTCAAGGATCTTTTGAAAAACACAAAATCTATGCTAATATTATTATATGCATAGATGGAATAAGCAATAATAATACCAATCAATGC